CACCTCCCAAGTAGCTGGGACTACAGGCGCCCGCCACAACGCCTGGCTATTTTTTGGTTGCAGCCATCATTGTTGTTTTGGTGGGTCCGGGCTGGGGATTCGAACCCGCCACCTTAGGTATACGTGGCTGACACCTTAGCCGGTTGAGCTATAGGCGCCGAGCCTTGAATTTTCTTTTGAGACAGTCACTCTGTTGCCCTTGGTAGAGTGCTGTAGCATCACAGCTCACAGCAACCTCCAACTCTTAGGCTTAAGCTATTCTCTTGCCTCAGCCTCCCGAGTAGCTGGGACTACAGGTGCCGGCCACAATGCCAAGCTATTTTTTGTTGTAGTTGCCACTGCTATTTTAGCTGGCTGGGGCGGGATTTGAACCCACCACCCTCAGTATATGGGGCAGGAGCCCTACCCACTGAGACACAAGTGCCACCCGACTTGAACTTTCTATACTGACCTAAATAAAATACCAGCAACATCTCTTTCTAACCCCATTAAAGTCCATTCATGGTTGTCAGGTCCATTGGTAATAAGCCAAGAAAAGTAAAACACTTTTACACTGTGATAGAACCTTTTTTTTTTTTGCAGTTTTTGGCCGGGGCTGGGCTTGAACCCATCACCTGTGGCATATGGGGTCAGCACCCTACTCCTTTGAGCCACAGGTGCTGCCCTGTGATAGAAGATTTTGAATCACTTGATGAGTGATTACCATGTTAACCTTATTGAAAAGTATATTCCTGAGTGGTGCCTATGGCTCAAAGGAGTAGGGCGCTGGCCCCATATTCTGGAGGTGGTGGGTTCAAACCCAGCCCCTGCCAAAAACTGCAAAAAAAAAAAGGCTGCGTCAAGAGACTCGCTTAAGCCCAGGAGTTGGAGGTTGCTGTGAGCTGTGTGATGCCACAGCACTCTACCGAGGGCGATAAAGTAAGACTCTGTCTCTACAAAACAAACAAACAAACAAAAAAAGAAAAGTATATTCCTGTGGGCAGCAACTGTGACTCAAAGGAGTAGGACACCAGCCACATATACTGGAGGTGGTAGGTTCAAACCCAGCCCCAGCCAAAAAAAAAGAAATATGAGAAGTATATTCCTGACCAGGCACAGTGGCTCACACCTATAATCCTAACACTCTGGGAGGCTGAGATGGGGCAGGGTGTGGGGATTGCTTGACCTCAGGAGTTTGAGACTACCCTGAACTACCCTGTCTCTACTAAAAATAGAAAAATTAGCCGGGCATTGTGGCGGGTACCTATAGTCCTAGCTACTCAGGAGGCTGAGGCAGGAGAATCACTTAAGCCCAAGAGTTTGAGGTTGCCGAGAGCTATGATGCCATGGCACTCTATTCAGGGTGACAAAGTTGAGACCCTGTTTCAAAAGGAAAAGAAAAGAAAAGCATACCCCTAACTTACCTAATCTTGAATCTTGGAAGAAGTGTTGTATATTATTTTTTATAATTCATGTATGTTGATATTAACCTATTATTAGTAGTATACTTAAAATTTTTCTTTAATTATCCTTTATTATGATTGCATACGAATTTTATTCTTTGTAAGTTTTTTTGGTTTTCTCTTACATAAACTACTTTTTTCTTTTATTGAATTTAACCCTTAGTGATGAATATAATAAAATTAGGTAATGTTTACTGGATATTTATTAGGAACCATTATTCTAAGCACTTCATATGTTTTACCTTGTTTAATCCCCTCAATAACTGTAACTTCATAAATAAGACTGAGTATCGGCTC